CAGTGTCCTTGATGGTTGCTCATAGTGTGCTGCTCCCCTTCAGCCTCAGTAATAATAACATCCTCAGGTCAACTTAGATAATGACCTGCAGTCTGACTATGGAGACACTGTCTGCCCAGTTTTCAGATCCTCCAAGGAAAAACATGTTTTGCTGGTGCTGGCAACTGCTGAGAGCCCAGACATAAATAGTGGTGTGGCCGGGCACTGGTGCTGCTGCAGGTGGTAGCTGGATGTCCACTGCGCCTGTGACGGCCAGGTGTAAACACTTTGAAACACACCGAACATAGGCACTTTGGCGATTTTATGATTATTTGACAATTCACAATCGAAGAAAGGACCCTACACTGAGCATACTAGAGTTGTCAAGCCTTTTCATATCTACAACTCTTCACCTCCACAACCAGCTAACCCCCCTACCAAAAACACTGATCCACATTCAACCATGGACTACGTTTAAATAGATTTTTTAGAATGATCCTTTAAAACCACACCTGAGAAGTCTGTTGCTGTTAAATATAATTTGGTGCAGACAGAGTAAACAACAAAACCCAGTAGCACAACTGTCCTTAAATGAACCTAGTATACTTGGCTTTAGGGAGTATAACACAGATTACTTTCCTTCTGGAAACCTAATATTCCACCTCCTGATTAAAAAGGTTTGTCCCTATATGACCTAAGTCAGCTTAGGTTGACTGATGACTCTAAATTGCAGACCTAAAATTAAATACTTTAAATCCAGTTACTGTATATCTTGATCATTTAATCCATACAAAACATTTTAATTAGTGAGAAGAGGTTCTGACCTAACTCTTGATAAGATCAGTGTATTTCCCAAAAATAAATCCTTTAGATAAAAAAAAAAAAGTGAGAAATATAATGTATTGCCCTTAGTATTAGGAAATCTACTGGGCTCTTTGAACACACTCCTGACCATTTTAGACACATACACACACACACACACACACATACACACACACACACACACACACACACAACTAACCAGCCTCCAGAAATAAAGTCTTTCTCCTGCCATCTATCTTGATAACATGGTCAGACAGACCATTAACAAACTGTTGATTCATTCTGGATCAGATAATACTGATAAAGTCATCTTGTCTCAACAAGGTTAGTACTGTAGACACCCAAAACGATAATGTATGTGTATGTGTGACAGAGTGAGAACCAGCCTGTAACAGACAGGGCTGATAGACACACACACACACACACACACACACAGCCGGGTAGAACCAGACAGGCAGGTCTTTGTGCACAGAGAGTACTTCACCATGAAGCAGGGTGTGTGAGACAGGGAGTGCCTGAAACACACACATACACTAGACAACAACAAATGTGAAAGTACAGGGTTAGAAACACAATAAACACTGAGTGGAGACACATGTGTGTTTACTCGGTTTTAATATAACTTGTTATATCCCGTCACTGTGCAAACGAAGCAGCAAGCCGAGGTTGTAAACAGCATGTGTGAATGTGTATTTCACTCTTCAAACAAATCAGTACAAATGTTGTTGTGCTTATCTTTATGAGTGAGTGTATGAATCTGTTGTGTGTTTAGTTGATCTTTTCTATGACAAAACTACACTTGTATTTTATAGAGTTTTTTAAAAATCTATGTACAGTATTTATCTTTGTTTTTTATTTTAAAAACTATAGATGCAATGGTGTCAGTTTGCTGTCCGGTCAACTCTCGTTCACTCTCCAGTGACTGTGACACATGACGCACACCATGGATACAACATTTAGTGCTATTTTCTTGTATATTTACGAGATGTTGACTCCAAAATGTTCACAGTTTTTGAATGCAGCACTGTTGTTTTCATATGGATAGTCTATGGAAATCCCAGTTTCATACATCCCTTTTGTTTTATCGCCATAGTTTCTCCCATTGTCTCGTATGATAACAGTAACATTGTGCTCACTAAGGTAATTGCTGAGGTTTCTTGACATTACTAAAAAGTGCAGACACAAACACACACAGATGATCTGACAGGTTGTAACTACCCCACAGGTTAATCAGACAACAAAGAGGGGTAGTAGAATTATTACTCTTACTGTCTGTTGTAATCTGATACACAGTTTAAAGTCCGACTTCCTGGTTCAACTTTGACCTACTGTGCTTACATCCATGTTTACATGCACACAGTTTTCCTGTGCAAAGAACGGTTAATACTGACATTTCAGGTGCGCTCACTTCCAGTTTGACCTAAAGATAAAGTGGTTTAGATGATGTGACTAAACCCTTGGCAGAAGCTTTTAGAAATCTCAGTCTGTGACACTGCAGCTCCGAAACTGCAGCAGCAGACGTAAGCTTTCGCAACAGATGCTCAGGCCCTGCTAACTAACAGGAATCTGCAGCACTTTGTGTTTCTGCCGTGGCCTTGTGATGTCTTTCATAACAGAGTAAACATTCACAGGTTTCACATGAGGTAGATTCCAAGAAATGTTGATGAAAGTTTCTTTTCTTCCCACATTTTTTCTGTTTTGTTTCTTTCACTTGTTTGTGTTTGGGCAGCACATTTCTCTTCCATAAAATTCCACAAACTGAAAGTGCAAAGTGGTTAATGCATTCGTTCAGTCTGATTAGTGAAATGTGCATACACACACGTGGTAAATATGGTCACATCATTCGCGTGTAGCTGCAGAGCAGATCAGAGTCTTCAAATTGTTTCAGTAAGTCCGTATGCTGACCTCAGTACTCCTGGTTCCAGAGAAATGCATGCACAAACACAGTTCTATGAAATCCTCCCCCACACTCATGTTTTCACACTTAATGACAAATACATTAACTGCATTTCCTCTGAAGCCAGAGCAAAGACTGGAATGGGCTGACCTTCATACAAACTGACTCTGGGAGCCAGGAAACAGAAATACAACTAGTTGTGAATAGTCACACTTTTTCTTCATTGTTTGATCGTGGCTGGTATGCCGATATTGCTGGCCTTTGATGCTGGCCAAATGATTATGAGGGGAACTACAGAATTTCTGGGACAATGAACCTGTTAATGACAGACAAGCATACAGGCCCACTAACTTATAGATCTTTGTGGAAACATGAGAGACCTGTGATGACACAACTGACAGAAGAATGCATTTTTATTACTGACTATCCTGTTGCCCCAGTGATCAATGTCCTTTCGAGGTACTCAACTTTACATTGCTACATTTCAGCATGAAGCCATATCTATTGTCAACCTATTGTGTTATGGTACTTGCCTACTAATCCCCAGCCTGCCCAGCACTGAATGCATCTGAGTCAGCAGGATGGCATCTTTGATAGTGGCCAGGAGCCAGAGCGTTTAAGCCTGCAGCCGCTATCCATATTGTTATGTTGGCCACATAACAAAACCAGGGTCAGCCAAAAGCAGCCAAAAACAGCCCTAAGCTGCCGGCAGTCAGAGCAGGTCAGGGGGCTGTGGGTGTACAAGTTGATCAGTCACACAAACATTTCTTTGGTCATATTGTGCTTTATTTCAAATAATGACCAGCAACGAGGAGGCCAGGCTCTTTGATACAATGACGACAGCTACCGCAGAGGTGAGTGAGGGTCTGTAGACCATCCTTAACCTTTTTTTGTTGTGTTGGAAATCTGATTTCTTTTTGCTGTACTGTCATGGTAAAACACTCGACTTTTCAAATGTCGCAGCTACAGGGTTCTCAGGAAGATAGTATAAGGTCCAGACAGGAACAAGAGCAGGAACAGATCCTTACAGCCCGAAGAAGCATGGTGAGAACACAAGACAAGAAGATCCTTATAACTGTACCCCCTGAAAACATCAAATTCATTTCAATTAAGTACTGTTTGTCAGAAGTACATGAACGTTTGTAAGAGGTGCAAAAGTATGATGTATATCATTCAGTGAAATGCGCATTCTGAATCACTGTGAATCAAACCGTTCAAACAGAATGCAACACTGTGGTGGTGTAGATGAAACAATATCTCTGTTCACAGCAGCTCTGATTGTTTTTGTGATAAAGTCTTGCTTTTGTCAGACCAGACTGGTTTGTCATTGCCTAGTCTGAAATCATATAAGTAACACTTCTGAACACTTTCCTCACAGCTACACGTCAGATTTCCACATATAAAGTAGGTGTTAATTTTATCGGTGAAAGGCTGATATATCCACTTTTGGCCATAGGAGGGAAGTGGACAGCCACAAACATGGGGGTGAACCTTCTCCTATATACAGAGTTTAACCTGTAAATTAAGATATTCATCAGAAACATACACAGATGCTCATGTTATCCCTCACTGGCTTCCCACAGCCAAGCTGTCTGAGGGGACTCAATACCAGCCAAATATAAATTTTGTGTTACCCATGTGCTCCTTTCAGCAACATTTTATTAAGTGTTTAAAATGGTATTTGTTTGCTCACAGAGCTGTTATTTCTCCAAGTGTTTGGCATACATGCTGCTACAGTAAAACAATGGCAGTAATATATTTATTAGTGATAGCAGGTTGTTAACATGCCTACATTTTATTATTATAGTGTCCCCACTAACAGATTGTTTATGTTTCTTGCAGTCCTCTGCTCTGCAGCAGCACAGACTGTGTGAGGACTCCAGAGCTCCAGGACCAGCTCAGTCTTTCCTGGCCAAGCAGAGGCAGTCCACCCAGGCCAGGAAAGTGCAGCCCAGGTAGGATGCCCTGTCTGCGGGGAGG